GGAAATAAGAGTCTCCTTCCCCAGCTATCTTTAAACCACAGTCTTCAGGTCTCAGCCTCTTGAGTAGCTAGGATTACAGGTGTGAGACACTAGTGCCCAGCTTAACACCAATTTTTTTTTTTTTTGTCAGTCATGGGGCTTGAACTCTGGGTTTGGGCACTGTCCCTGCATTCTACAGCTCAAGGAGAGCGCTCTACTGTTTGAGCCAGAGTGCCACTTCCAGTTTTCTAGTGGTTTTTATTGGAGATGAGAGTCTCACGGACTTTCTTGCCAGGGCTGGCTTTGAACCATGATCCTCAGATCTCAGCCTCCTGAGTAGCTAGGATTATAGGTGTGTGCCACCAGCGCCTGACAACACCAATTTTTTAAGTTCTCTATACCTTCAATGAAAGCTTTGTCTATCATCAGTTGCTGAGAGTGAAACATTAGTCTTCTTCCACTACAATTTTATAATTTTAGTGTTAATTATAAATAGGATTAATTTATTGCATTGTCAAGTTGTTACAATTTAGAGGCTTTGTTAGTCCTTACGCTATAAAGTACAGTAATTTAAAAAATACTAGTAAAAATAGTTTCAGCATGGTATCTCATATCTGTAAATAGAAACTATTTAGGAGGTAGAGATCAGGAGGCTACTTGAAACCGGCCTAGGCCAAAAGTTTGCTAGACCTCTATTTCAACCAATAATCTAGGAGAGGTGATATGGCCCTGCCTTCCAGCTATGTGGAAAACACAAGTTAGAAGATCTCTGTCCTGGCCAGCCCATGGAAAAATCATGAGACACTATCCAAATAATATTTAAAGCATAAATGGACAGGAATGTGTGACTCAAGTAACAGGAGCAACGCTGTACCGAGAGCAGTAAGTCCTGAATTCTTTTAGGTAACAGGTACTCTGTGTTCACTGAATTTTTTCCACTCTGAAGGTTGGAAATCTAATGACTCTTCTCAATGAGAAACACTTGGAATTTCCAATTATGTCTTTATATCCTGATGTGAGTACTTTATATTTGACCACCAATTCAAGGAACCCTCAAGCCTCTTCTCTACACAGTTTATTCTCTGCTATCCTACCTTCTAAACTCCAGGATGATGATCATTTTACCTTCAATGCAGAGGGAATAGATCCATCCAATGACACCAAAGGCTAATAATTATAAAACATAGTACATAGATACTAAAATGAGTGGTTTATATTTAAAGTCCTGCTGACATTCACATTCACATCATGGCATTTATTGGATATGTGAAAATAAAACCCAAACATACAGATGTGTATCAGATGCTATTGTGCATCCCAGCTGATTCTATCACTAAGGGTTATCAATGATAGTTTTAAGAAAGCAATCTGAAAAGAAGTAAGAGAATTGAGGGTCTGGGAAGTATTGAGAGACATGGAGAGAATGATGAGAGGGGTAATATTGCAAGGTGCATTGTACTCACAAACTGACATATTGACTTGAAACACCTTTACACAACTACATGAAGAAAACAAAAATTCATCAGCCAATAAAAGAGGAATGAGGCAGTGAGAAAGAGAGCAGGGAGTATCTTACTTCAATGAAAGCAGAGATTTGGGTACAATTGGTCAGAAAAAAGAAGGCAGGAATTTGAATGGAATATTGTTATTCATAATAGAATTGTGGAATCAGAGGATCACAAAACAGAACGGAACTGAATTATGTAACAGTGGAAAAATCTGGCATATTGTAAGGAGAAACAGCAGAATGCAAGAAGATGATTCCATCACAAGTAGTCAGAATACATGATGTTTTGTTTTACATATGTGGGACTATTACATTATAATAAAGCAGACCTCAATAACAGAAGTATAGAGGATAATGACTCTAAAGAATTATCCAAGCTGGGTGCTGGTGGCACATGCCTGTAAATCCTAACTACTCAAGAGGCTGAGAACTGAGGATGGGGCTCAAAGCCAGCCCTGGCAAGAAAGTCTGAGACTCTTTATCTCCAATTAACCACCAGAACACCAGAAGTGGCTCAACACCGTGGCTCAAAATGGAAAAGCTCCAGCCTTGAGCAAAAGAGTTCAGATTCATCACCCAGGCCCTGAGGTCAAATCCCTTGACCAACACAAATAAAATAAAATAAAGAATTATCCTACTCATAAAAACAATGATACTCAGGGGAAATATTTATAACCCTACAATAGGGTTAGTTACAACACTTGGAACACATAGAGATCCAACCTGCTTAGAGGCAGTCTGCAATGGGGACAGGATGTCCATCTTACCTGTATAAGTCTAGTACTACTGTAAGAGCAATTTGATTGTGATCATCAACGCTTAGTGGTCATACTAGCAATATTTAATTTCTCTTCCAGGAAAGGACAAGGACATGGATTTGTGGTTTAAAATTTAACACCAAAAATTTAATTTCAGTTTAATTTTTTTGTTCTTTGTTTCTTGGGTCTGTTGTGGGGCTCTGGGCCTGGGTGTTGTCCCTCAGTTCTTCAGCTCAAGGTGTGCGCTCTACCTCTTGAGCTACAGCCCAACTTCCTGTTTCCCAGTGGTTTATTCGAGATAAGAGTCCCACAGACTTTTCTGCCAGGTCTGGCTTTGAACTGCAATCCTCAGATCTCAGCCTCCTGAGTAGCTAGGATTACAGGTATGAGCCACCGGCACCCAGCTCAGTTTAAATTTTATAGACTTACAAGAATGTTTTAGCTCTAACAGTTTCAGCATGAGAAATGTGAGGAAATAGAACAAGAGAGCTTTGAAAGTTGGCTTATTTGTCTCAGTTACAGAAAATATGATTTGATATATTTTCTCAGAGAACCAAGGCTTTTTTCCCCTTGATTTGCTTTAAATCCAATTAGTTTCTAAGCATTCTAAATGTATACCTGGGAAAGGAGGAATCCAAATATGAGACAAACCATGCAGAACCTTGAATACAAGCAGCACAAGAGAAAGGATTATGCATGCTTCAGTGTAAAATAACAACTAAAAATTCTGAAATGAAACTGAAAATTCATAATGTTTTTGTTGTCTGCCATTAAGAAAAAAAAAGAGTGGAAGTAACTTGTTTTACTGAGAGCCTAAATCCACATTTGAGAAAGTACCGAGAAAGGCATTATGAAGATTGCAAAAATAAGTGTCTGGCCAAGCTGTGGGCATTTGCTAAGAATTAGGTGCATGAAATGGGAGCTAAAAGGAAATCACTTTTTAAAAAAAGTTTTCAGAGGAGAGTTGGGATTGGGAAGAAAAAAGAGGTCTTGTGGAAGCAGTAACTGAAAAGTTGGTCCCAAAGAACAAGCTAGATTTTATGAGAGGTTATTGGTTTTTTTTTTTTTTTTTTGGTAGGGGGAGGATTGAAGTCTGGTGTTGAGGTAGGAAAGCTGACACCAAGGTAAGAAATGTGACCAGGATTGCAGAGACTATCTGTGGTTTCTTGGATCAAGGCTATCTCATAAACAAGTTTCAGCAAAGTCTTTTAGGACTTCATCTTTCATCCTTTAGGAGAATGGTTTTGAAGTTTTATTGACCAAGGTAAAAATACCTTTAATTGCACACACACACACACACACACACACACACACACACACACACACATCTACATGCAATCATAGGCATGTGCACAACTACGTAAAATAAAATGGTTTCATTTTCCCTCAAAATGCACACTTACATTTACTATTATTAACTGAAAAGCTCTCTCACATTGTGTTTCTTACACTGTTTAATTTCAGGATTCTGCATTGGCCTGAAAGAATTGCATTATATGAGTTAACAGTCAGCCATGCTGTAGTGGAATTCATGAAGGTGTCTGCATGGAGGATTAGAAGAGGGCTTTAGGAATATGAACTGTGTCTGTTATACAGAAGAGTCCAGAGGGAAAGAGACCAGGACACCCAGCCTTCTGGTTATTGTGGTCATGAAGGCAAACGTGTGAGGTATCAATGAATGTCAAGTGAGCAAGGCCATTGCGAAGCATGCTGAGGAGAGGTTGGAAGGTGATGACAGGGGAAATGAAAAACTGAATTAAGACATATTCAGAGGGCCAATTAAGGATTTTTATAAACTTGCCATTTATGTATGAACAAATAGTGAATTAGTCATAAAATCAAATCATGTACATAAAATAATATTGCTTAAAATACTTGAAATAGTACATTGAACTCTGAGCTAAATGGAATTCCTGCAAACAGTAACAAAAATGCACAAAGATTTAGGAGAGAAAGGAAGCAATTTGCAGAGCTTCAACTACAAGCCAGGAATTAACAAATGTAACTTTATGTAATCTTTATAACTGTACAAGACAAATATTGATACCCTTATTCTATATAAGGAAAATGACATTCAAAGAGATTAAGTAGTTTTTCCAAAGTTAAACAGCTAGCTAAGTTAAATAGAACTACATTCATCAGCCGGAAAAGCTAGGGATTTATGAAAATGCTGACAATCAATATTTTTTTAAGGATTAGCTTCATTTTTTAAACAAAATGAATTTCAGTAAATACGCTTTTTAAACCAGCTTGTGGTGACAACGGAACTACTTATAGCCTACCTTTGGTTAATTTGCAGAAGATAAAGATTTATGACTCAAATGCCAGGTAAAGTTGCTTTTTGTTTCAAGAAAGAAAGGAAGGAAGAAAGAAAGAAAGGAAGGAAGGAAGGGAGGGAGGGAGGGAGGGAGGAAGAAAGGAAGAAAGAAGGAAAGAAAGAAAGAAAGAGAGAGAAAGAACCCAAACAACAACAAAAAATCCTATTTGCAAGGGCCCTGGGGCGCCTTTGGCTTCTGCGCATGCGCACGCGCACGCGCACGCGCAAGCGCTCGGGTCTTACTAGCCAGCAGGGGGCAGGACCGGATTTCTGCCTGCAGCGGCTGAGTTCCAGTGTCCCTCTTCACTCAGACGTCACGGAGCTCTGGCTTGGATGTGCTTCCTTAGCAACGGGTTGTCCTGGCAACACGAGGACGCGCGGCCGGCTAGTTCCCGGCAAGTTCGTAGCACCTGCTGGCTGAGCCCGGCGCGGGCCCGCCATGTCCGAGATCCTCTGCCAGTGGCTCAACCAGGAGCTGAGGGTGTCCCGGACCGTGAGTGAGTGACCAGGGCCGGCGGCGTGGCGCCCGGCGGGCCGTGGAAGGTGTCGGGGAGGCGGACCGGGGAGGGAGAGGGGGAGCACACGTGCCGGGCCGG